GGCACAATTAACGAGCTCCATCAAGAATCCTTAGAGATTCGTGTTCGTGGGTATAAAGTACGTATGTGTTTATACATGTTCGCTACCTGTTCGCTATCTCCGATTACATGCTCACCGATGCATTCGAATAAAGACAAAACGAACAATATTGAATAATATTGTTAATAATTTTGTATCAATATAAAAAAAACAATATTTAATTTTTAACGTGTATAATTATATTATTTCAAAGCACAAATAATTAAAAAAGAAAATACTTAATGAAGAAATATATTTTTTAATATTTCTAAATAAATAGAAATATTTTGTCTATAATTTTATAATTTTACAAAAAGAAAAAAATGATAACTCGTTATTGAATGTTTTTGATTGCAAACATTATATGCAGATATATAATATATGTAACATCTATACATAACGTTCGTCGATCGACTTGTACGCATGCGTATACTATATGTAGTCACACGGCCAATCGTGACGTCACGCGACACCCGATAACACTTTTGTTGTCGTCGGTCTGTCGTCGTCGTACATATGCGTGACACTCAGTTCAGTTTCGGACACCGACTGAATCTCGTATGAAACATATATTCTATGTTATCAATTATTCTAATTTTTTACAACGAAAATTTTATACGAAATAAATTTTTTTCGTGATCTTCAAGTGATTGCAAATATTCTTGATATTTTGGTGTTTTTTTTTTTTTAGTTTTTTTTTTTTAAATCATGTCACACGAAGGAATGTGAAAAGTGTACTAAGTTTAATACGCCTGATTACAGTTTTGCATAGTTCGAAAGTGAGTTCCAACTATAAATTTACAATATTATTAAACTGTATTGCTTTTTTTTTTGATATATCATAAAGATTGTGTATTTATTATTACTGCATATTGAAAATATCGCTATTATGATTTAAAAAAATTTTATTGTGGAATTATTAATTATCAGTTTTATCATGAATATTCAAAATAATAACTTACATTCTTATATAGCAATAAAATGAAATTTTGCGTATAAAAATGATAAAAACGATCTATAACGAAGTTTTGTTCCAATTTTAAATCTTTATTAGCATTTAATGAATGCATTTCATATGTTAGCAATTGATAAATGTAACAAAGTATAAAATACATAAAAAAATATAAAATATATTTTTAGCGTATTCCCTTGAACAAATTAACTAATTAAAATTTAGAAGATTATTAAGTAATTACTAACTAATTCTTATTTGTGTAATTACATCATATCTCATAGGAGTGGAAAAATACTCATCAAAGATATATTTTGTAATTATTTTATTTATGGAAAAAACAGACACATGTGTGCTCGCACTATAGTGACCCATTGTGAGGAAAAAATAAAGTGAGCGATGATAATCTTAACAATTCACGCAAACGAGCCGAAGCGGACGATAAGTATCATGTACATCAATGATGTTTAATGATTAAATGATTAAGTATTGATGTACACTCTCTGGTTCAGTGTTCGCGTTTATTTATAAATGTGTAAAAGTGTTCGATGATTTCTTTTTAACCGCATTCCTTTCAAGGCCTCTGCAGGGAATAGATATAGGCAGCAATAGTGTCTGACTCGACCGTCCCTATACACCGCTTTCTACTTTGAACGGTTCAATATGGAGGTTCTCTTCATATCTCTGCTCTGTTTATATATTGTATTTTTGTCCTTTATTTTCAAAACTTTGATAACAATCGAAGAAATTCCGTTACTAAAAACGGTTTCGATAATTCTTTTTCTAAAGTTATTATGCTTCTATAAAAAAAGATAGAATAAAAGCAAATTGAATAGAATAAAAGATAGAATCAAAGAAAATTGAAATAATATGATTGAGAGGAAGCAGTGATTCTCAAAAGATTAAGTATATCAATGTTTTAAAATGATGCGTTTAAATAGATCTAATTCCGGTCGAGGTCAAAGCTCCGTTTAATTGCCAAACACTGTATTAGTCTGATGAAAATTAAAGCATACTTTTAAAAATAGCTTACTTTTTAAAATGATTTTTATTAAGATTGGATTATATCTAATAAAATTGGAAATTAGAAGTTAATACTTGATCTTTAAAATTAATCTTTAAATATTTTGATTGAAATTTGTGACATTAGAAATTAATGAATTGAATTTTAATTCAATTCATACATCTTCTCATATATTTTAGATTTTTACAGATTCATATTATATTTTGATAAACATATGTTAATTTAATTAACTTAATAATTAACTCATAATTAGCAAATTTTATTATTTCAATTTAATTTATTGATACTTATGTTGTTTTAAATAATTATATCGAAAAAAATGTAGAAGGGGAAAAAAAAATACGATGTGTGAGAAAATAGAGAAGAATGTATACATATATGCAAGTAAATTTACAGGTAAGAGAAGAGAGAGGATGAGGCACACGAGTCAGCAACTTTATAACAGACTTTACAGGTTAGGTAACGTGTATCCATGGTGGTTTTTTTTCTTTACAGAGAAAGTTAGCTTAGGTGCACTTAGAGCGTAAAATCGTGTTTCTGTATAGCATTAGTCCTTTTCATTTTCTGTAAAGACTTAATTAAATAATCTTGAAATAATTATTAAATATTATTTATATTTAATTCTCGTATTCATATTAGATCTTATTAGAAATCGTCAAGGAATTTTTTTTATGATGAGAAATCGTGAAAATAATTTTTTAATTTATAAGGCAATAAAAAATTCAATTGATTTTGTTGTAATAAATGTTCTTTTAATTATCATTTAGTAATGAAATAATAAGATCGTTATTATATACTTATTATAATTAATAAGTGTCACGCAATACAAAATATATAATTTTTCACGATCAAGATTGCCGGAAATTCCTCTATCGACAATATAACGGCCATCTTATTAATCCACGAAAGTATCAGAGGAGCCATCTATTGGTTGAACAAGTAATTTTCGGAATTATTTCTGTGAACGTATGATTCAAGTAGTCAGTCGCGGAAATCTCTTGAAAACAGATTCATCATTCTATTAAAAAGATTATTAAGTGAAAAATCACAAATATTTTGTAAAAAAGTACAATATTCAGTACTTAATTAATAAAATAAATACATCAGTATTAATTATTAAGTACATTTATTTTAAAATATAATTTTAATTATATTTCTTTTATATACAATATCTTTATATGATTTATATATTATTTCAATGAATAAGGAAATTAAAATCAATTATATGTTTTTTATTAATGTGCAAAATTGATTTACAATTTTTTTATATTTTGTTTTGATTATTTAAATTTTTAAAATACAAAAGAATATACAAAATATTTTCTACAAATATAAAAATACTTAAGTATTATATCTACATTACATTATGAAATTTTCTTGAATCTTTACATTTTTATTCCAAATTCATTCATATTGGAAATTTCAATTATTTGCGTTTAAAGAAACTCGTTACTTTGATATATATATAAAAAATATATGCTCTATAAATAGTATATTACGCATTCTTAATCGCTTACGCATACTTGAAGTTTATACGATCATTGACATCTTGTGAACTTTTATACAAATTTAATTTAAATTTAGATATACAAAATAATTAAACAAATAGTTATTTCTGATATTCTTTTTATCAACAAAATATCATCAGAACATTTGATAACTAAGTATGTTCCAAAGAAAACATGTGCATATAAATCTATTAAATCTTTTTTGCAATTATGTATTAATTGTATAGAATCGAATGTTACGAAGCGATTAAATTATTCTCTTGTTTTTTTTTTCTTTTTACAATAATGAAATATTATTTACAATATTATTGAAATATTACAAAGTATAACAATGATCACAAACATTTATTTGCTTAAACTGTTTAATATGTGTCATTTTTACAATAACTATCGAGTATAGTATATTAGTAATTTAAGTGTAGTAAATATTAAAATATCATCGATGAGAAATTTGCAAGCAAATTACATATTCGTATCAAATAATTTTGCAATCGATATTATGATCCAATGATTACTTTTTTTATTTCTTAAATGTCGCTTCAATTATAAATAATAGAATTACAAAGATATTGCTCTTATTCTTTGTTGGATACATTATCACTTAATAAACGCATTCTTATTCTCGTTAATTTCTATAGTTATATCGAACATCTGAGATTCATGCTTAATTATATTTCAAAGTCATCAAATAGGAAAATAAATTTTCATAATTTTTAATTGATAATTATGAGATTATTATAAGTAAATTATTAAATTTTTTCAAATGAAAATTATTTATTGTGTGATTCTATGTGAACGAATTTGAATTAAAATTCGCGTTATAGTAAGAAAGAATTTTTAACCTCTCTTTTTATTTCATTCGTAATAGTTCTCATTTTCGATGCATTCAAGATACAAATGAGTTAAAAAAAAATAACCGACAATTTAAAATGTTCCTCGATAACGAACAGTTAACAAATTCGTTTAAATAAAACAAACAAAATAAATCATAACCTTGTAAATATAAAATTGTTCCTCTCCTTGAACTTTGTTTCTTGCTTAAAGATTTCTTGAATAGAAATTCGTTGTTGTGCTTCCTTCATGACATGATAAAAGTAGATATATGTATATTCGATGGAATCAGATTACTATATAAGAAGAAAAAAGAACACTAAAAGAATTTGGCCAATTGTTAGTATGGAATATGCATTATGTAAACATATAAATACATATATACTTGCGTACCGCTAGATCGCTTCTATGGTTTTCTTTTTTACCGTCTCTCGATAAACCGTTATGTCTGCATTTCCTTTCCTTGTCTAGAACATTTAACATGATCTTTGTTCTAGATTTAAAAAAAAATTGATTTGCTATTTTTTTAATGTTTATTCGCATGCTTATTTCTTTAAAACGAAATATTTTACTCTTTTTGGAAAATTTAATTTAATTTAATTTATTAAATATTGATAATATAAAATTTCAAAAATGAATAATTTTTTTCTTCTTTTCTTTGTTTCAGACGCTAAAATGAGATTGGAAGAAGATCTTGTGATTCGTAGGAGTAGACCAACGATGATTTCTGCAAAATACCGCGCGAGAGAAGAACGTCGTCGCCTGCTAAAGATTTCAGCCGGCAAGTTGAGGAGAATCGAAGACCCGGAGGCTAGTCTATGCAGATCGGTTCTTATAAATAATGCTGTCAGGCGACTGCAACGTGAAAACCGAGACGAAAAGACAAGAAATTACGGACTTCCGGTTGTCACATATCTAAATGACTCCACCAAAGAAAATAATGTTTCTAGCAATCTTATTGTCGGAATAACGGACGACGAAACGTCTTCAAGAAAAAGGTAAGGAAAAATATTTAAGAAAGTGTCATAATTTTTTAATTAGATTTAATTTTAATGATCTTTGCTAAATTGATTTAAATTATAATTACATATATTTTTTCGTACATAATCTATATATACAATCGCATTTTTTGAGAATTGAATATCGAAAGGATCGAAAAATGTTCAAAATGTTCAAACATCCGCGTTTTAGTAAAAGATGGCAGATGGCAGATCTCGTTCACCGTCTAGAGATTCGTTTTACATAATATAGGTTACGCAACTAGTGGCAAGTCGCATGTAAATTGCGTAATGTCTTCGGGAATAAAGTTGTCTATTCCCGATAATTTATTCATAATTTAATAAAATAATCCAAATAACGTTCAACTTTATCAAAAATAAATATATATATTATTTTCGTAGATTAAGCGATGATACGAGGAATGATGGAATCAGTCCTAAACGTCAAAGGCATGACGATCTCGATCTACAGGATGATGTATTTAGTGACTTCTATATTCTGCCTCCCACTCCTCGATTACTCTCTCACATCGACGAAATTCAGGAACCTGAATCCCCTCATCACCATCACTTGGTGTATCCCGAGGATCGCTTAGGTTCCGTGGACGTCCGATCAACAACGACGATCATTAGCACCAGTACCGCGAACACAACCACGAGCAACAGTACAAGCACGTCCACAAATAGTTGCTGTAATTCTATCATGTTTTCTACCGAGCTAGATGGCGCTAGCAGTCAATTAACCAGCGTTATTAGATCCAGTGACGTAGGCATGATGGAGGCCTCGGATGTAGTTGATCCCGATAGAATCTGCGATTTTGCGAGATTCGCAGACTCTACAAAGACTTTAGAGGAACGTTTAGTGGAATTACAATCGCTGGATGAACATTTTGATTTGGCAAAATTTGAAAGAAATAATAATCAGAGTTGCGGCAGGGCATTCCACGACATTCAGACTTTTCACAGTCTAGTACCTGGATTGGAAACCTAGAAGGGAGCCTTGTGCCTGGAGCACCCTCCTCTCGTCACGTCTGGTTCGATGAAGAAACAAAACCATGACCATAACGACAACGACGATGCGGATAAACAGCTTCGCGGCACATATGAGGAACCACGGCAAGGATGAACCTGGACTTGGAAGATAGACACTTTGTCTGGAATATAGCGCGTCCTATGTCACTTTGGCTTGATGGAATATAAGCATCGTCGACTCGATTGGACGACTTGTTAAAAGGATCTATTTAGTATATGAAGAGATACAAAGAGCTTTCAATATATGATCCATTAATTTATGATTTATTTTCGTGATTGAATTTTTTTGGTCGTTCAACCGTTTCAACGAATTCTTGATTCAGAACAGAATGAAGGGAGGAGGACGAGGATAAATAAGATTTTTTTGAAATTATATAATGCGTTTTTAACAATGCAGAAATCGATGAATGGTTATTTGACTGGATTTACAGAGTATTTTCCATGTGTATGTAACTAATAGATTGGTATCACAAAACCGTGTTCATATGAATATCGATACCAAAATGTTCTGATACGCATTACGTATATATAATTTGTATATACTCGAATATGTTTTTAAAAAGCACATTAAGGATTATAATATAAGAGAATTTGTAGTAAACATTTTTGGGGAAAAACAAAAAAACATTGCCAAACAATGAAAAGATGCTAAAAATGAGACGCATATGTCTTTTGTATATAAAAAAAATGCCTTTAGAATAGTTGTAAATTGAAATCGAATGAATTTCACTATCGCACGATTTTGCTACAATGGGCCTTCGATTTTTATTAGCAATATTATCGTTTGTTTTTTAAATCTTTTTCGTGGTTTCCCTCGGTAATTTTAAAGAAACAGAAGGGAAAAACAGATTTTAGGATTTCGAAAATTGTGATTTTTTTTTTTATAAATCACAAATAATACTGAATATAATACTGAATGGTGGAAAATTGCTACGATTGATTATAAAAAAATGTATGTATCTATTAAAATATTTCTTTCATTTATTTTGTGGTCTTGTTCCGTGTGGTAATAATTGTAAATTTGTATGTTTGGCATCTTTTTATTATTTTTTTTTAAATTAACATATTTTTTTATTACTAATGAAAAAATTCATTAGTTTACGTTGATTTATAAAGATTCTAATTTTATTATGTTAAAATACGCGAGTGTACGATTTGTACATGCTCCTTTGTATATAAATTTTATTTGACTTTTTTGTTTTTTTGGTAGGAAAATATTAAAAAAATCGCAAATCAATCTCGAATATTAAACGTATTAATATTGTTATTAATATTGTAGATAATGAAATTCATAATGGATGTTATAAAATACGTGAATGCTCTTGAGATTAATTTGCTGAATTTATACATTTTTTTCGTTAATTATTTAAGGAATAATGCAGCTATTTTTTTTTTTTTTATAAATCAATACAATCCACAATATTTAAATTTTTTTGAATAAAAATACTATTTGTAAGTTGATTTAAAAAATGGATAGTGTTAACTGTATCACAAAAGTGCTAAAAAGGAATTGGACGATTAATATCATGCGCATAATTCTAATTTTTTTATTTAAATCGACCACTTTTATACTTGTATACGGATATAAATTTAATGAATCATTCATAAAATCATTCATGTGGTTTTTTGTATACAACAGACACATTTGGATCTCCTTTTAGAACGCTGCATAATAATTGGCGTTGTAATCTGGAGGGTGACCGCGAAATTACTTACATGTATATTACGTAATCAATGATCGAAGCATTGTAAATTTGTACCAATTTCTAAACACAGCAAAAAAAAAAAAAAAAAAAAAAATAGAACAAATGTGGAAATGATATTCAAAGAGAAATTCAATCATTCTTTCAAACGTCTAAACCGTCTTTTGAGGTTAATTTCTAGACGTATCATATTGTCAAAACAGAGTTGAACTTGATTCGTGGTTCAGCGCATCCATACACTGTATATAGCCACATATTAGTATCCTTAAATAAAAACTATGTATAAAATTTCATACGTTGTTTAGGTTTTTAGTAATAGTTATTCAAAATCAGTTACATTAATTATATAAATAAATTGCAAAATAAATTGCAAAAATATATTTCTTGTATTGGATTTCTTTCTTTCGTCTTCTCCTTTCAAATTCCTTTACGCGTTGATCGTTAATCATTTTTAAAGGTTAGGTTAGTTTTTTATAATATGAGGAAATTAATCACAATAACAGAGATAATGCGTTTCTTTTCTTTTTTCATATTTTTTTTTTTATTGAGAGTTGCGAATATATACAAAGGATGGCGAACTAATAATAACTATTACATTAGAACCAAATAAACGAAGGTTATCATGATAGTATTAACGTGTGTTAATATTCGTTTAGATAACATAATGCTCGTAATGGTATGTGTATCGAATTTTTAAAAGATGTCATATGCCAAAGCGTTATTTATTTATTCTTATCTTTTTTCTTTATATATATATATGTATATGTATATATGTATAATTGCTTTGCGCCACACGAGTTCGAGACTTTCAATTCTCGATAAAAAAAGGAGCTTCAAGATCGAAGATCAAATATAGTATCGAAAATCGCTGTATTGAAAATAAAAGATTTATCGATTATCTTTTTAATTAGATGGATTTTTTTTTTTTTTTTTTTACTCAAAATGATAAATTATATTTTAGAAAATAAGTAACTATTACTTATTCAGAATTTTTTCCAACGCATTATCGAGCAATAAATGAATCCTAATTATAGTTTCACAAATTACGAATCGAGAATTATTTATCGCTTTTTACGACAAATTGTAAGTATGAAAAGTGAAAAATTTCTATTTCTCTACCGTTTAAGAATCGCATCCGTTTTCATTATCTTGTAAATTTGTGCGTTTAAATTCGCGACAATCCGAATCCGTCTATTCGGAATAGAGCTAAGATTTAAATGGATGCAATGGATTCAAGGCAGATATAAAATTGTGTAAAAATGTGAACACGTTTTACCACTCGTCGATCATACTTTCGACGAAATCGATTCGTAATCGTGAAACATTTCGTTCGAAATGATTTTGAAACAATGTCCAAAATTTATAATTTTTTTTTTGTTTTCATTTTAATCATATTATAATATTAATGGAATTATCAAATACATCTTTGAAAAGGAAAAGAAATAAAAATTTAATTGAACAGATCGAGTCGTAATAAAGATCGATATTGCGGATACGCAAGAGAACATACGCAGAACGACATACCGCATTTAATTGGCGCTTTGAAAAAAATCATTGAAGTTCGATCTTTTAATTCGCAAGAAACGTTGCGATAAAACCTAATGTATTTTTTTTCTTCTTGCTTTTTTTTTTTTATTGCTTTTCTTCCCACTTTCATCATTACAATAATATTCTCGATTTTTCATTTCATATAACAAAATATCTTTTCCTAAATATAAATCGATCCATTGATCGTCACATTTCAACTCTACCTCGCTTTTCAATCTCTATCCGCTTGCTATTCGTTTCAAAAAATATTTCATCACTGCAGAAACACGTCGAATGATTTTTTTCTCTAATTTTTTTCTCTTTTTAATAATTTTTATGCAAAAAGAAAAAAAATAATATAAACAATAATATATTAAGAGATTAAATCGGATAATAAACAATATAAGATTCATATTTACAAATTTGTCGATTTTTATGATATGATACTCTTTATTGCATTTCCCTTATATACATGTCAGAGACATGCGCAACCACATCTACTGTCAGTAGAAATACTATTATATTTCGTCCGACATTAATCCTTGGACATCTTTGATGTTTTATAAATGTTTACTATTGTAAAGATTTACTGGCTCTTCCGTGAAAATTTTAACATTAGAATGCAATTTATATATATATATATATATATATATATATATAGAAATCTAAAATACTAAAAAAAAAAAAAAAAAAAAAAAAAAAAAAAAAAAAAAAAAAAAAAGAAATCAGTTCGATCGTATTTTTTTAACCTAAAAATCATTCGACGATTTCATCTGTCCCTCTGACTACTGATATAATTACACTTCTCATTTCATCATAAAAATAGAATTCTTAAAACTTAAACTCAGAGTTTACTCTCTCGCACATTCTCTCCTTTCTTCTCTCGCTTTCGCATTTTTCTTTCTCGCTTTCTCCTATTTCTCTTTCTCCTACTTTCACATCCCTATCGCGTATCATCATGCTATACACACCAAGTAATAATAATCATTTGCTGAGAAGTATGCAGTTAGTGTTGACAAATTTAAATATATTGTCGTTTTATCGTCGATCTATATCGATCTTTTTTCAATTTGGTCGGGTTTTTTTGAAAAAAAAAAAAAAAAAAAAAAATATATATATATATATATATATTACATTTACTTAAATAATTCGTCATTGTCGCTAAAAACGTTGCATGTACCAAGGTCGATTCTCATTGCTACGATAAATATTTTTACAATTTAACAATTCATTGACACAATATAGGCATACAAACGTAAAAGAGCGCGGACGATTAATAATTGAAAAGATTGAAGTAATAATTTAAATGATCATGATCATATCACTTCAATGCATTCGTTATAACAATCATTAACGTAAAATGGCGTAACTGTGATAATTAACATTCACGAAAACTCACTGAAAAAAAGAAAAGGTATATTTTAAATGGAAAAGTGTAATAGATATACGGACTCTTACAAATAAATCTTAATATTCGTTAAGTATGATTATTACTTTAAGAAAAGAGAAGGAAAAAAGTAATTAGATAAACGCAATTGAAAAAAAAAAAAAAAAAAAAAAAAAAAAAAATGATGCATTCAAACGAAGGAACGCTTTCATCAAATTATGAAATAAATCGCGTACATAAAACATACCTAACAAAGAAGAGATGTAACAATTATTTTACATATAACAATTGTGCTCCTTCACCTCAATTGCATCAACGAAAATATGAAATCAAAAGATTGAGATTTCATTAATGACAGACAACTGTCCTATGAAAGACAATAAATAAGGGCTAGACATTAGATTACATTAGATATCGATTATCGAATAAAATCACTATTCTATGCATACAAGTTATCAACGTATCTGTTCCGCTTCTTAATAATTATTTTTTTTTCTTCTTATTCTTCTTCACTTTCGACACCATAAAATTACTTAACTTAAGACAGAGAACAAAAAGATAGAAAAAGAAGAAAGAAAAAAAAAAAAGAGAACTTCCAATAGTTTCGTCCTGTAATAATTGGTTATATAAGATTTTCAAAATATAATTGTGACACGCACTGCACACAGCTCAGTAAATTATTTATCTCGCAATTCTAAACGCCATCGTCTGTCGATAACAATAATTACATTGATCATCGATATTTATCGATCGGTGATTTTACTTCTTTAGTTCGATATACATATATTTATATTTATATTCATATTTATAATATATATATATATAGATATATCAAAAATATCCTTAATAAAATAGAGCATTTTAATATGTATAACGTACCATCAAGTACTTTTTTTTGTATCATAATTTTATCCATTATATATATAGCATATAGCATATATATATATATATAAATATATATATATATTTATTTATTTATAACGTTTAGTATTATATATATTTAATATACATATAATACCCCACGCTACATATTCTTTCCTATCGCATGCGCACGTGCAATGTACAAATATGCTGTTCATACGTGTGCAGCGTGCGCGCGTATGTGTATATTTTCTTTTTACGTGTCGCCACGTGAATTTTTTTCAAGATTAGATTACGCATACCTTGAGTTCTGGCCTTCTTCGTTATTTCGTATAACGGTTACGTCGCTTCAACCGTTTTTCCATCTTTTAGTAGATTGCTTTTATTCTATGCCAATTATACATATTTAATTATACATATTTAAAAGTTTTAAAAACAATTATAAAATCATGTTGCAATTGCTACTTGTTGTATCAAAATCTATTGAAGAATTAAGCTATAATATATTTTAGTAGGAAATTATTATATTAAAGTATTTACTGTACGTCTAAAGATATTATAATATATTACAAAGATTTTTGTAAAATAGTAATGTAATATATTATAATATAATTTAAAAAAATGTTCTAGATTCTTGATGTCGAATCGATTAATACTGACTTTTTATCAATAATTATTAATATATAAAATTTGTTGGTTAACCATGATTAGATACACTGAAACGAATGAAGCCGACAGAACACTCGAAAGACATTCACTCATTCGCGTAATACAAAAATTATGGATCTGTCGTTCTAGTTTTCGATCTAAGTTAATTGTTCTCTAGTTCAACACAGCCAAAATTCGAAATTTCATCAAGTTATAAAACGGTTTGTACATATATTTTTGAACCGATTTTCATTTCCTATATGAACAATTTTGGTGAATGCATTAACTAGTGCATAAGTTATGCGAGAATTAAAAATATATAAATAATAAGTGAAATGAAATTACTTAAATAACAAATAATACACGAAAAAAATTTTAAGTATTTTATTGATTATTTTAAAACGATATGTAATGGAAAAAAAAAAATATATTTTTTTCTAATTTTATATAGATATATTTAAAATTTAATAGATTTAAATATTTTTGTATTTCTTATCGATATTAATCCATTATAAAATGAGCTTGTTCCCGAACTGCGCAATTTTTGATTTTTTTCATCATGGCAGAATGTACTATTCAAAAAGTAACACTTCTTATTCTCAGTTAATCTTTTACCTGTTGTTTTCGAACAAAACTTTTTCTTGTAATAAAATTCGAATTTAATTTTAAAACTTAATTTTTTTTTATATTTTTTTCCAATATTATCTTTTCAAGATATTGAAAAAAAAACGAGATGAATTGAACGCACGCGATTTGTACATTTGAAGGATAAAGATCTTTTACTTCAACAATCGAACGATTTCGTCTTTTAATAAATCTTTTTTCACGTGGCGACTTTGCATAAAAAAAAAAAAAAAAAAAAAAAGAGAGAAAAAAAAATGATGAAAAAAAAGAAAACTCATTTTTTTTATTTCTCTCACTCTTTCAGACTTACAGTCATTCGTTCATCAGCCTTTCCCTCTTCCTTTGTTTTTCATCAAAATAATTTCAAAACCTTAAACCATTTTCAAATAATCGTATTACACGATTAGTAAAGGAATTCAGCACGACGAATAAATTCATCACATCAGATAATAGCAATTGAATAATCAATAAAGTAATAATTAATGATAATAATAATAATAATAATAATAATAATAATAATAATAATAATAATAATAATAATTAATAAAAATAGTAATTGATTACGAACTACAAATTATCAGTTATGTACAATGCAATATAATAATATTATATTAAACATAATAAATAAGCTCGAGGCGTATAAGTTTACACTTACTTTATAGAAGTGTATCTTTATCAATACACACAATAATGCTTAGTTTTTTCACTTCACGATCGCCCCTGGTTAGTAAAAATTAATTACAAGTCATCATTATACTCCTTTTCAGTGAGCAGGCCAACATATATATATATATATATATATATATATATATATGTATATATATATGTATATATAAATATATGTATATATATATATATATATATTTATATATATATTTTTCTCTTTTCAAATATACAATTAAATCCCGTAGAGCGTATATTCTTTCTCGTTATTACTTACGGTAAAAAAAAAATCATGCTTCTATTTTTCTGCTTCTCTTTCTCCAATAAAATTCCACAGATATTTTATTTTTTGTAAGTAAACAAAAATATATTCGACGCATGGGATAAATCTAATGAAATCTAAACCAATATATATAGCGCCACTTTGTCCGATATAAGCATATACACATGACATCTCTCGACACGATTCGAACTGCGTTTACTTCGGGATGTGCGGAAAAAGGAACGAACTACCGATTTAAAATTGTTCTTCGAAGAATTACGATCTTTACGGGATCTTAAATTGCAGATCTCGAAGAACGTGAATGATAGATATGTCTCTAACAGTGAATTGTTTTTTTATCTAAATAACAGCAAGGCAAATCGACAGTTTTTTTTATTTTATTTGTCGAGAATATATTTTCGAACGTTTCCCATAAAAAATTCGAGGAAGGATAGTATTCCTCCAGGATTTATTCCTTCCGAATAAATTTTTTTTTTTTATTTTCGAATTAAAATATATAAACGAAGACAAAAAAGAGGGGGTAAAATTGAAACTAATTGATGTATAAATTTTCAATATACACACATGTATATATACATATACATATAATACACATATATATATGTATTATATATACATATACATATAATACATATATATATGTATATATACCCCCTTCTTTTTTTTAACGCTCCTTTTTCATACGAACCATTACTTATTTATCTTTTTTTTATTTATTTTTGTTCATGTATGTATATCTATATATATGTATATATTCAACCGTATGTATAGTATCTGTTTCAAGTCCATCCATACTATATTTTGTCATTTTAAAAATCAATGACTTCGTCTGTATCATTTTTTTTCTTTCTTTCTTTCTTTTTTTTTTTTTTTTTTTTTTTAGGCACTTTTCCTTGGAAACAGATTTTTACCATGTTTTGCCATATTTTTTTTTCATTGATACTTTGGTTGTTAATGTACAACATTGTTAATGATTGTTATTCAGTTCATATTTTTGTTCCTGTTGCAACGTTTTTTAACAAAACATTCCCGTAATACACTATCACAACGTGTACGCATGCGCGCACGTGATTACCACGATGCGTACGTTTATTTACCATACCATCGTAAAACCATTTTTTTTTTTTTTTGAGCAGTACAAAAACATTCCGTTTGCACTTGTTTTTTTTATATAAGGCAGATATTGTCGCTACTCAAAATGAGCGTTAATTAATCTTCACGAAACATTTTCGATATGTTTCTCTATCCACCATGATTGGTATTAAAATATAAGTTCGATCAATAATTCTCTTCGGTTATTCGTTACGAAATAACCTTATTGATAATTCTTTTTCTTTCACAAAACACCTTTTCCTTTTATCCAGGATTGGATAATGAATTTCACCCTTTTATACACTTTCGTAAGAAAGAATTAATCTATATATTATTTACTTACTGTTCATCCTCATTTATCCTCCTTGTTGTTTCATTTCTCGGCTGGTCTGGTGACCGTTTGCGGTATCACTGTCAATGACTTCGGAATTTTTGGCAATATCGGAATCTGATTGGACGTTTTAGTTGTTACCTGTATTGATTTCGGCAGATTTAGGTTATGCAACAGATTTTGCGTCGGACTGTTTTCATTTGCCAATGCACGCACGTCGCAAATCAACGGTTCGAAGTCGCTCCTGCTTTGTCTATTTAGCATCTCCTGTTGCATTCTTAGATGCTTTTGAAATTGCGTTTGCGCAGCAATTTGCGCTTTTTGGTACTGCGTGGCTGATTTTAAATTTTGCGAGGAATTCGAGTTATTCATGCCGCCATTTGAGTTAGTTAATTGTTTTTCCGTAATCATTTGCTGTTTTTGTTTTTTCAGATTTTGCAGTCGTTTAAAATCAGGTTCGCTTAATTGGAATACTTTACCACCAGTAGATGTTGGTAATTTTTGACTATCCTTTCGTTTCATATTACCATTCGCGGTGGTGCTAGTAGAGGGAAGATTTAACCGTTGGAGATTAGGCGGTGGTTTTTTAATTATAGACACTCCAGGATTTAATTTCAGGATCCGTGGAGGACTACTCTTTATCGATTGTGCAGTATTGCTGGACGATAATTGTTTGGGGGTGCTTATGGTTGGTAAAGAAGGCTTATCTCTTTCGAGCACGTAACCACCACTCAATCGACGAGAATTGTGATACTCTGAGGCGATTGGCTCCATTATTGGTTCATCCATCTTTTCTGGACCTTCGTACGATATCAATCGATTCTGTACGGAAGTCGAGTAATTGATTGCATTCCGTGATGCATTTGGAGCTAAAATTAAATCACCGGATCTATAATATTTTTCTAAAAGTATCAAATGCCTGAGAAACGAGCTTTGATTCCCATATGGTCTTTGCAATTCTTGCCAAAGGAGTTTCGTATCTCTGTCATATTGTATCATAGTAGCACATTTCTCCCAACCCTGAGGTGTTATTTCTCGTACATTTGTGAACTCTATATTGGCATGAAGATTCATTTCTTCTTCGCCAGGGAAAAGAGTGCGCACACTAATGGATGGATTAGCACCAAGTCTCTGTACAACTGGAGTAATATCATTATTCGTCCTTGGTCTCTTTGGCAATCTTGTTAACGTCACTTCTTTGTCCATCGCGAGAATTTCAACAACTTCGTTTGGATTATCACAAGATATCGTTGTATCTGACGTTGTATATGGATTCGTGTCGAGTAGCTTACGCTTTTTCAATTTCTCTACAGTGTTCTCGATACCGAGGAACTGCACATCTGTCACGACATTTTCATCGCTCAAATTCCCTTTCACGGTACGATTTTCGTTGTCAATTTCAGAATTAATTCCCTCGTTTTTATTGGGTTCTGGAATAGACTTTTCAAAAGTGGAATTTATCGTACCATCTGGAGATTTAAACGTTGTAGTCTTAGTTTGAGTACTGCACTTAGCTTTCTTCCTTTTATCTTTATCTTTGTCTTTCGACTGATTCTGAGACGAATCTTCGTCTTCATTTTCCAGAACTTCAATATCGTGATAATGTAGAATTCTAAATATATAAAAAAGAATAATAAATAGAACATATAATAAATAGAATAATAAATAGAATATATAAAAAGAATAATAAAGATATTAATATAAAAAATAGGCCTTATAATGTAACTAAACTATTATACCTTTTTCGATAATTCTTGAAGAATGATTTATGATTCGTATTCATGTTTTCCACGTCCTTGTACTTCAATTGCAGTTGTGTAAAGTAACGGCATAATTTGCAAACGAAAGTACCGGCCGACAATATAACAGGAATACCCTGTTGTCCAAGCAACTGATTCAACTCGTCAGTTTCCGCATTCGCCAATTGGTGAGTGTGATTTCTCGCTAATCGACGTTTACACAATGCACAAGTCAAGAATCTTTCGATTTTCGAATAATGACTGACGCAGAACGACATGGATGTATGTTGACTCGATTCCCAATCAATGTCCACCTAAAAATATTTTTATTGATATGTCAACTATTCATTAAAAATATTAAAAATAATGATACAAGATCTTATACGATACCAATATTGAAAAAAATATTGAATTTTTAAATTCTTTTCGCATCATCCTATATAATATGGTAAACTTACTTGTTTTTGCAGACCAGCTTTTATCTTGAGCAACCATCGACGTTTAACATGATGTCGTGCAGCATCTCTACAATCACGGGCCGAGCATTTGGATACCATGAGTTGTCGGTGTTGTTTTTGTGGCTTCGTTTGCATATTTGTTGGACTTGTGTTCGCCTAATAGATTATAGGAAAATTTTAATAACAATAAAATTAATAAAATATTTATTATTTTAAGATAAGTATATATAATATAAAAGTTTTTTCCAACCTTTCTATCTACATGGCGGTAACAAGCATCGCATAAACAAGAATCCTTAGTTAAATGTCTTTCTATGTTTAAAATCTTTTTGCGCCTTTCATCAGATTTCATTTGAGCAAGATGCATTGGTGTATCTAAAGAACCGAATTTTCCAAAGCAATAACAACATACATCTGCACACAAGCGTCCTGGATGAATGGAAAAAGAAGAGGATTTTTCTGGGATAACAAGAGACTGGCGATCCTTTGGTGCTGCATCTTCATTATCTTCGTCTGTTGTGAGAAAACAATAAATTATCTATAATTATTACAAAATCTAAAAAAAAATAAATAGATTTGATGTTTTAATAAATTTTAATGCTATCTAGATAAAATGAAGTAAAATTTAATTAAAAAATAAATTGGAATGTTAGAGGGTAAATGTAATTGATGTTCAAAGCAGTAGCATAAAATAACATGCTTGTTATGGAAAATTGTATAGTTATTACGAGTACAATTTGCGGGATTTTTTTAGGAAATTCGAAAATTAAATTACTGAATATTAAATGGTACATTAGTGTCTCATTAACTATCGCATTTGTCTTCGTAATTATTTATTTATAATATAATTCTTATTAATTTTTGAGATTATTTTAATGCAATAATAATATAGAAAAGTCGTATTATTTAGCAATGAATATATATTTTTAAATTTATAAATATACTATAAGAGTTACTATTTAATTAAATTATTGCTTTTTTAAAATAAGAATCGAAAAATCATACTTAAAAATAATTTGTATATAATTAGTAAAAATAATAGTTAATATAAAGAAACTTTTTCCTTATTTTATTTTTACACTCAATACTTTTGATATTTGTCTCGAGATAAATAAAAAAATAAATTATATTTGAAAAATAACAATTCTTAAAAGTATTATATCTAAAGTATATCTAGATAAAATTTTGCAAATCTGGCCAATTAGTAAAGTACTACTATAGTAGAATTGCAATTGATAGAATTATAATATCATAGTAAATAAAGACCAATCCATTAAAAATAAATATCAAGCGATTTTTTTCATAATAATTTCTAAAATGATAGAATTTGTATATGAACCAAGAACAAATATATTTCAACAAAGCAGAAGGACAAGGAATGATTAAGAATGTAGTTATTCCCGCAACCAGGATTACCGCAAGAGTGTCTGTGGTTAGTAGAGAACTTTCGGTTCGCACCAGAGCTGCTATCTCCCCAACCACTGGTTCCTAACTGGAAAAAACAAAGAATAAAATGATAAATAAACAATAAAATTCCATTACATTTAATGTATAATTACAAATTATATATATATTTTTCTTAAACTCACCTCCTTTTGAATAGTGTAGAAATTTTCTGGCGAGTCTCCTTCACCATCTCCGCGACCCTGTTTCAGTACCATTTTTAGTGGTGATCTCGATCGTCTTTTGTCCTTCTCCCTCTCTTTCTGGACACGAATCACGGTTTTTAAGGTTCCTGTGGATTGTCCTTTCTTCGCTTTTTGATGATTCAACCTCTCAGCAGCCTTTTCCAGGGATTCCAAACCAAGTAATCTCAAAATTGACTCTTTCTTTGCCTTATCTTCAGGCGTCTCCAAAATCTTTGAAGTAATATTGACACTGCTCGAAGATTCGCCAGAAGTGGACGTCTCGTCAGAATCTTTCTGCGACGTTTCTGGCGTTTTTATAGGTTTGCAATCGACATCCAGTATGTCTATATTTTCCACTTCTTTAGTCACATGGTTCTCAGACAAATTTCTTGACAATCTGTTCTCGCACGTTTTCCTACCATTTTCTTTTGCTATAATCAAATCATTTTCCGACTTGCTTCTCACATTATCCGCGGTTTTTTCGTGTTTCTCCAAGCTATCCCTTCCACCTTCAGAAAAACCTCTGAAATTTGTCGCGCATTCGACTCCATTTTCATATTTGTTTAAAAACGATCGATTGTTCTCGTTAATTTTCGCTACTTCGTTGTCCAAAAGAGTCTCCTCTTTATTTTGTTGATCGCATCTCCGAATCTCACGTTTTGCTCGTTTGTTCTTCAACATATTCAATTGATCTTCTTTGCGTTTCTTCGCTTCTCTGCTACGTTTGGTACGAGCCTGAGGTTCCACGTCATTCGCGTCCATTTCACCGCTATTTTGAGTGTCGTCAGTGTCCTCTGTCATCGATTCTTGAACCTTTTCCTCCAAATCCTTCGAATCCTCCTCCTCTTTGTTAGAGTTTTGCGGTTTTTCTTCTTCTTCCGTCTTCACCTTCGAAACGGTTTCTTTTTGATCCTTGCACGATCCTTGCCCCTTTTCGAACTTTCCTTTCGTTTTATCACGCGCCCGTAATACTCGTTTCTTAGTATCATCTTTAATAGATTTTTGCTCTTCCACAGTATTATCCGATGCTTTTTTATCCTCTTTTGTTAATGTCGTATCACTTTCTAAATTGTTACAAACGTCGTTACCGTTATCATATAATTGTATCGAATCGTTATCGATATCATTTTCTTGTTTATCTTCTTCCTCATTTTCGTTCGAGTCTTTTTTCAAATCTTCTTGAAGAAGATTACAAGCACTGTTAGAAACAGGATTACATTTAGAGTTAGACGTGGAATCGAAATTAAGTAATAGTTGACAATCATTTCTATCTTTTTTAATAATTTCTGCCACATTTTCCTCTTCCCTTTTTTCAACTTCTTTGGCATTTTCTACTATCTTCTCGCATTTGTCTCGCTCATCTTTATTTTCCAATTCATTGACAGCATTTGTTTCTCGATTTTCGGTATCCATTGCTACATCTAATTCGTTGGGCAATGAAGAGGAGGAAGAAGAAGAAGAAGAAGAAGAAGAAGAAGATTCTGTTGCAGTTTTGGTCATTGCAGATTCTCGATCATTTTGCGGCTCATCTGCGCTGCTTTTCAACTGATGTCCAGACTCATCCTCTGCTACCATTCTTTCCACTTCTTTCGAAATTCTCTCTAAAGTTTCCACGTCATCGGGTCCCGTATTCGTGGAAATCTTTGCCCCATCTTCGATTGCCGTATCCGTCTTTGCATCTTCTTGCGTTTTAATCTCCTCTTTCTTCGACTCGGTTATCGTACTATCAACTGGAAATTCAGAGGAAGTTGTTTTATTCTCCGTCGATTCGTTTTTAAACTCTTTGTTCGAAATAGTTTCCTTAGGAGTAGACTTATCACACTCCTGTAAAGATTCCTCACAATTCTCAGACTTGTGAGCCACTTTGTTCATCGCTTTTCCTAATTTTTTAACGGTATTATCATTGTTCTCAGGGGAAGCTTTATCTATTATCCTCGAAGATTTTCTAATAGACATAACTTTCTTTCCATCGTCTAAAATTTTTATCTGATTATCATCCATCTCAATCTTTTTCTCAGCCTCCTCCCTCAAATTGGACGTTTCGTTCGATTCACCCTCCTGTATTACAATTTTGCAACCATTCTCATTTTCTATAATATTTACCACTTCAGAAACGTTGTGAGTGTTGCTATTCGCATCAGTGTCAGAAGATTCGCTTTCTTGCACGTTTTGAGAATGAGTTTCAGCTAATTCAATATCACCCATGACTAGTTTCTCAATTTCTTTGGCAGTATCAGCCACTTTTGGTATTGAATTATCTGAATTGTCCGATTTCATCTCATTCTTTGTCGCGGCAGACTTATCCTCATCCGTATTTTCCTCTAGCCCTAATTTTTGAGATTCCGCGCTCAATGGTGCAATTATCTCTTCAATTTTTGGTATCTCGAAGTTTTTGTTCAATCCAAGGCCCTTCTCTGGGCCGAAGATTTTACTCTCGATAGATTTGGCAATCGTAAGCTTGATATTTTCTATCATTTGATCTATCTGAGACTTGGGATTACCGTCCGATTTATCCGTATTATAAAACGAATTAACCGTTTTCTTCATATCTATATTTAAACTACTTCTTCGACCCTTAGACTTGTCAGACAGTTTTGCCAAAATATTATCTTTTCTAACTTGATCCAAATTACCCATCTTTTTCAATTCTTCTTGCACCTCCATATTTTTGGGTATTATTCTCGTATATTCAATTTTTATATTGTCATTTTTTATCTCAACTTCGGTACTTTTCGCCTTGGTCTTCGAGCGGAGCGTGGGCCCAATCTCACTCGTCCTGTCCGCTCTATCGCTGTTGTTATTATTTTCTACTTCTGATCCAATTTGGGAACTGTCCTCGAAATTTTTCAACGTTTCTTGTTTCATGCACATTTCATCTTTAACGGGTACTATAATTGTTTGAGAATCGTTACCGCTAGATTCAGAAAAACTAGATTCAGAATCGATATTATTATCCGCAATATTATCCGCAGAAACTTCTGAATTAATTGGATCATCCGAATTTAATCGTCGACGCTTTTTGAGCTCTAAATCGGAAATTACAGAATCTGATTGCCTTAGCTTACCATTTCTTAAACTTCTTTGATTAATGATGTTTGCACTCGCTCTTTTTCTCAAATGAATTGCATTTTGAACGGATTCCGTTTCAAAATTCTCCCCATCAGAAGTAATTTTAATGTCTTCGCTGTCTGGTTCTTTTTTTATTTCAATATCTGAAATTATATTCTCTTCTACCAACATCTTCTTACTTCTTGTTAATTTTCCTTCTATTTTTTCTGTTATTCCCTGTTGATTATCTATTTCTGTATCGCTCAACATTGAAGCTATCACTTCGTCAATGGTAAGATCTATAGAACTTTTACTATCCAAAAGAGACTTTGAAACTCTTGTGTTACTATAATCTATGTCTCTAGTAGCCTTCCTTCCTTTCGAATATTTAATATCAACTTCTGTCTTTATTAAAGTATCTTTCTCTTTGATACCGTTTCTCTTAAATCCTGAAAATTTTGTTGATTTAACACCTCTAGGCAAAGAATCTAAACTTTCCAAGCTTCTACCCTTCCTATTAAGTTTTGGACTACTTTTAGTACTGCAACCTGCAACTGAATCTGAATCTCTATCTAAAATGTCCTCACTTTCCACTTCTCCGATATTTTTTAATATAAACTTGGTCTTTTTAGTCCTGAGATTGTTCTTGGCACTTCTATTACCTTCTGCTCCTATATTTTCACCTTCTGTTTCGTTTATTTGATGCTCTAAGCTTTTGTTAGATGATGTCTTAGTACTATTCTCTTCAGATAATTTGATTCTTTTAGTCCTCACACTTTTTTTGATGTCAGAAGGTATTCTACACAAATTTCTATTGGCTACTTTTCTCGTAACCTTTGATTTAATTAGATTTGCTTTTGCTACTTTCAACTTTTGTTTATGTTTCAGATTCCTAAGAACCTTTTTACGTGGTAGACTTGCCTCTAATTTTGGAGGAAGTTGACTACCAGTTGCTACAGCCTCCAATATATCTCGTGCAAGTTGCTGTTGTTTTAGATTTGACAAAGACTTGCCTTTTCTACTTTTAATTTCGTTCGATGGCAAGCTACAATCATTATTCGCCTTCTGTTTTGCTTTTGAAGGCACTAAGGGTTTCTTTTCCCTGGATGCCATCTCACTTCCACCCACATTGGGCTCCTGCAATTTCATTTATAATGTGAAATTGCAAGCTGCTTATTAATTAAATGGTAATTATTATTACCATTATAGTATTTAAATTAATTTTGAAATATATTAATAAAATAATGTATTTTTAAAAAGTGAAAATTAAATTTATTCATCACGTATTATTTTCTAAAAGATTATAATATAATATTTATTTTTATATATATATATATAGAAAAATATTTCAAATGTTAGATATCGCATTAAGAGATAACTGTCGTTTTTCGAAAAAAAAATATATATATTGCATAAAACAGCGTTAAATTATAAATGAAGAAAATATACCTTTCCTCTTTTAAACGAGACAGGAACAAATTGACTGTATACCAAATGGAAAAACTACATAATTCGTCTTAGGTGTGAGTAGGTGAGCGGCCGGCCGGATAGTGGGGTTGATAGATGCGGCCCTGGCGGTCAGAAAAATTACGTGACAAACTTTGCATTTACACGGATACACGAAGCGCCTCTTTTCGGTCAAGGAATCACTTTGAAATATTTATCGCGATATCTCGGCAATCACATCTTCAATCACGTAAAATTTAATTTCGAAGGAAAGATAATGTCACACATTAACTTCCTAAGATGAAAATCAGGGCTTAAGCAAGCAAGAACTATCGAAAATCACGCAAGAAATCATCGCGAAAAAATCGCCACGAATAAACAAAAGGTCGGACTCGATTCGAGATTTTCAAAGTTTTCTATATACTTAGCTTAGGGTTATCGAAACAATTTATGATTTCAATACTCGATTCATCGATTGTACTTACCTCTGAGACAAAAAATCACCGTCAGAGAACGTAATTTTTGCGGGAAAACGCGGAAAACAATTCTGTGAAAAACACAGTCCCGTTGCAGGGTGTCTGTACGATGTCCCACTGTTTTGAGGCTACCGCCACCTGACGGTAGAACACACGACCTCTCCCAGGTCCATAGTCCGTTCGCACTAATTCATCGCGTTATTTTAACTAATTCAACCCCTGTCGCTTTATACAAACCGTTATCTATGATATGTTTACTTCGCGAGAAACTCGTACTTACTGACGAGACAGAAAATAGCCTGAGAAAGCCCGATTTTATTCCGATTATCTTCTAGCGAAATTTGGAACAACGCGGCACTTCGAAATCTCTCTATACAATATTTGCAATAACTAACCCCGCGTTATTTGTCGAATTTTACGTTATCAGCGTCACTTAATGACACGTTTGTCGATTGGGATCGTAAACGAATGTAGTGAAGTTTCTCCTCAAAACGAAAAACGTTACAAATAGAGGCGCGTCACAAGGAAAAACTCGATCTGGCACGAGAACGAAAAGGAAGACGCGCCCGTGCGCACCAATGGCGGCCACCGACCCTTATTTACTGAAGTCAAAATGGCTGCCCTTCGGCGTTTCACACGTTCGAAACTTTCAAATATTATTCTTCGTTCTTGTGGCGAATATATTTCATTGAATAGAGATTTACCGATTATTACGCAGGTATTTTACATCAATGTACTTTATTTTTCATAATCTTATAACGAACGACAAAAAATTCTCATACATTTTTATAATGATTAATTTTAAGATAAAGTAACGAAGGGCCACGTTAGCGAAATCATTCGAGGTATTCACGTTTTTATTTAATTTTAATTTTCCAGAAATTTATTTATATTTTTTCATGTTAAATATTCGTATAAATGAACATATTTTTTGAATATATGAAATTTTTTATCAATTATTAGCAATTGATAGAAATACGTTAGATTAATAGATATACCAAAAAAAATTTTTGAATAATTGTTAAAGTTGAAAGAATAGAAGTAAAATTAATATTCGTCATAATATTCTAATGATAATTATAGAGAAAAATATAAATATATTTATTAAAATTTTACATTTAAATTTTTTTGAAAAAAAAAAATATAGTAAAATAAGAAAATATTTATTTAATATTATACATTAACCTACAAATATTTATATAATCCAAATAACGGTAATAAATAATTATAAATTATTAAAAAAATAATTTGACTTTCTTTAATAAATATTATATATATTATATATATTATATTTTAATTTTAATTCAAATTTTATTTTAAAAATTCTTATATTTTTAATATATTTTTTTATTATGTATAGAAAAGATGGGGAAAATACAAAAGTTCACCTCAATATACAGAATCTTCTAAATATACGGATTATGAAGTAACAAAAAATCCTCAAGAATGGGAATATGTAGAACGTTTATTTAAACCAAAATCTATACCTATACCTTGTTTAGAAAATAAAGAATATCCATCTGGATGGAAACCACCAGTTTGTAAGTTACTTTATTTCATGTTTATTCATTTATTACAATTTAATATGTTTATAATAAAATTTGTGTGTTTTATTCAATATTATTTAATAGCCAAACCACAAGAATATCCTTATTACATACAACGTACAAAAAACTATATGCAACCTGTCTATCTTGAAATTTCTCATCGAGGATTACGAAGAATAACCACTGTTCGTAAAATTCATGGAAATATCTGGATATTAGAAACTGAATTAAAGAAATATTTAGAAAAAAATGTAAAAAAATCAATTGGTGTTCGTAGTAATGAACTATCTGGTCAAATTCAATTTAGAGGAGATTATGTAAATCTCATTAAAGCATGGATGAATGAAAAAGGATTTTAAATAATATAATTTTAAATAATATAAAATCTTATAATATAATGCTTTTTGTAAATAGAAGGAGAATATTTTATTATAATTATTTGTTAAAATTCGAAAATAAATAATGAAAATATTTAATTAATAAATTTTTTTTTGGATTCAAAATATTTGTTATTTAAATAATACTCATATAAAATGTAGAAATTTATTGTGTGTGAAATGTAGAAATTTATTGTAGTAATTGAAAAATTAACAACTTCATTTTTGTAAAAATATGCATTATATTTAAAACTATAGTTCACACAAATTAGTATATGGAAGATGAATTATAGTACGTGTAGCAGCATACTTAAGTGCTAAATGTATTTATAATTTTCTGTTTCTATCAAAAATCATGCTATATGCTTTTTTATTAAACAATAACAAATGAATAAGGTAACTTCTTAATTCTAATAAATTATTTTTGTTTATGATATACATATTAAAACAATTTATAAATTAAATAATTTAACGCAACTATATCAAAGAAAAATTTCTACGAATATATATGCTAAAGTAAATATTATGTCATTCATATTTCATTAAAAATTAGCAATGTTCATATGATGCTAAAATAAATCCAAATATTAGAAAACGTGCATTAAAACTAATTTTAGAATAATATTTTAAACGCGACATAAACTTAAACAATAAAAGCATCAAGTTAGACAGTAGAAACCTATGGGAAGGAACATTGTTCTTTTTTGAAAATCACCCTATTTCAGTACAGGATTCTAAGGGTTTGCATGTAAAATTTGATAATATTTTATCAGTTTTTTACGTTTATTTCATGTGAACGAAGTGTTCTGTTTAATAATAAGCATATGGCAAATTTTTACTTGAAAATTTTTCCTTGATTAAATTTACGTCCTTCTTTATCGGTCCCGGTCCAGCTAAAGTACTGTTGAACCAATTGTTTTGTTTCTTCTTTAGTTGGATCTAATTTAGTCCAACTGTATGATTCATAATCTACCTGCCAGTCTGGGCATAACTGTTTAAAAAAAAATACTACTGTTATTTTAAATTATTAAAATTATATAATAAATATTTAAAATATATATATATATATATAATATAATAGATATTAAAAAGATTAAAAGCACTAACCGTGAAAGCAAGCTCTTGTCCTCGCCAAACCCAAATACCACTGATGCTACTGTCATTATCTGTACCAAACAGACAAGCACTGGCAAATGCACCTTTTCGCATCTTATCTAATCGTTGATACATTCCACTTATAAGATTGCAAGACATAAAAACCTATACAAAATACATAAAAGATATATAAATATCAAGAACTTAGATTTGTATTCAAATATGATAGATATAATGTTATATTATTCTTATTTAAACATTTTTATTTTACCTTTGTTAGTTCATTATTATATTTATATTCTCCAAGCCAAATACTATAATGTTCCGGATCGAATTTTTGCCAAAAATAAGGTATGGACTTCACCTCATCTTCATTGGAATAAAATCTTTTAAAATCATCAAGATCGAAATTACCTTTAGGTAATGTATCAAAAGGATTTGTAGTTTTAGGTTCAGCAGCTAAAGCAGCATCTGCTGGATCTAAATCTTCAATGGTTTCTTTTTTAGATTCCTTTATTTCTTTTGATTCTTTTTTAGATTCCTTTTCTTTTTTCTCTTTCTTTGAGGACTATAAATATTATATTTTATTATAATATCAAATAATGCTATTTTTATAAAATGAAAAATATAATACTCACTTTTCCTTGAGTTTCTGCAAATTTTTTTGGATCATATTCAAGAGTTTTCTCAGCCAATTTAAAGGCACCAATTACAGCCATTGACTCAGGTTGATAAATGACTGTTTGAAACCACCGATTTACATTTTGATATGGTTTACGTAAATTTGGTTCCAGAATATATTGATATAAATGAAGTAATGTCATGGCTACACTAATATCTGCTAATGTCAATCGTTCTCCAACCAAGTAAGTACGTGTAAGTAAATGAGAATTGAGGGCAGTCAATGCTTTTTTTACATCATCTTTAGCATGTTCTACATTCTATAATTTTAAATTATAAAATGATTTATTTTCGATTTCATAAACTATATGAAAACTTAACAACTTACATTTGTATGCATGTCATTTAATACATATATAAAAATCACATGTATTCTAATAAATGTGCCAATTTTTATATATCTCCTTGAGTTACAAAAATAATTAGAATATCAAATTATTTTTGCCTTTTAAAGGAGAATTTATGAAAATAATTTTATTTGTACCTGTTTATTATATGGCATAATTCCGAGCAATGGGAACACCCATGCACAACTAGCTGGAAGAATTTCAGAATCTGCAAAACCAAACCATTGAATGATTTCTGCACGTTCAAGATCAGTTTTGCCTTTTAATTGATCATTAGCCACTAAAAAATAAAAATTTTTGTTATACATTATATAATTTCAATTATTTAAATGTCACATAATTATGATTCTTACCATAATAAGCAATTGCATTGCTTTCTGTGATATACTTTCCATCACATGTTTCAAATGCTGGAACCTAAACATAAAAAACATAATAAATTATTTTAAACTTTTAAAAGACAATTAAAAACAAAAAAAAATAGAGAAAATAATAATATTATTCAAATGATATATAAAAAAGGATATGAAAATTTATACTCTATTCTTTTCCCAATTTAATACAAATTATTTGTTTGTATATATTGTTGTCAATAAAAAATATACCAGCTGGTTCTTTAAGAAAGACGTATAGATGAAAAACGAAAATAAAAAAAATTAGAAATAATTCTACCTTGCCTAATGGGAATTTCTTTAAAAATGCTTCGGTTTTATTTGTCTCGCCGAAAACGAAATCATCTGCAATCTTAATTTGAGCACCGGAATACTGAGCTGCAATAAGCACTTTGTAAGCTCTGAAGTTTTCCGGATACGTGTAAAGTGTCTGAAATAAATCGAGACTCCATTAATTGATTTCTACATTAAATTTCATTTTTGCTAATATTTATGTTTCTATTTATTTATCATAATGACGATGTTTAATAGTTCAAATTGAAAGAGAAAAACTTACTCCAGACGCCATTATATCCAGCTACGGGAAGAGGAAGTTGAAGGCCGGTAAAGATCGTTTTTCTCAAGTACATGAAATCCCTACATGTAATAATAGATATGTCCTTAAGACGTAGCCACAATGCATGCATATTTTACTTTCATGAAATATCTTAAAATTTTTTATTAAAGTTAAAATTTTAACGATAAAATAAAAATATTAATAGTTTAATTTGATAATTATTAGAAATTTTTTTACAATAACTCTACAGTATAAAATATAAAATTAACACAATTATCAAATATAATAGATAAACATATTATTTCAATTGGCTAATCAATAAAAATTTATACTTCACATTAACAATTTTATATATATCGAATATTACTTATAATCAATTTGCTTATTAAGTATTTTCTTAAATGTTCCAACAATTTTATAAATGTTAATAATTTAATATTGAATTTTTAATTATATAAAACAGCGATATAACATACATACATTTATTATGTACGTTTATAAATTATGTAAGTTTATAAAATTGAATCTTTGTTATTATATTTTATTTATAATTAAAAATTTTATATAACTTGTTTTCATGTAACTTATATTTTTATGTTTCTTATAATTTTATTTTTTCAATGTTGTATATCTAATATACCTATATTATATGATCATAATCCAAAAATGGCAGCGTTGAAAGATGTTGTTCCAGTATACAAAAATTTAAAAGAAGAATGGGCAGCATCACCATGCAATTTAAAAAAGTGTGGTGAATTGCTCAATCAATTGAAGGTGATCTAGAAAATAAATTTTCACTTTCCTATTATTTAAAACATTTTTGACATTACGAACGACATTTAACCTTATTTTTATAGTCTGTCAAAAATGGATTGTCATTGTATCAACTACATAATATATTGATTAATTAAATAATTACTTTTTGTAGGTTGGTCTTACACATTTGATGTTTCTTCCAACATCTAATAGCACAGCAAGTCAAAATGAATTGCTTATAGCTCGTAAATATTAATATATTTAATATTTATATTTTTTATATTTTATTTATATTTATATTTATATAATTATATATTTATATAATATTTATATTTATATAATTTTTAAAGAAAAATTTTCTAAAACTTTATTATTATTATTATTATATGTATAAATTTATAATTGCAGGTGATATTTTAGAAATTGGTGCACAATGGAGTATAGTAACTGAAGATATACCTTCTTTTGAACGTTATATGGCACAATTAAAATGTTATTATTTTGATTATAAATCAGGATTAATGGAATCTGCATATAAATATCACCTTCTTGGGTTAAATCTTTTATTCTTATTATCTCAAAATCGTGTGGCTGAATTTCATACAGAATTAGAACTACTACCTTCTGATCAAATACAATCCAATGTTTATATTAGACATCCTTTAAGCTTAGAACAATATTTAATGGAAGGTTCATACAACAAAATATTTTTAGCAAAAGGTAATGTACCAGCAGCATCATATAATTTTTTCATTGATATTTTATTAAACACTGTTCGGGATGAAATTGGAGCATGTATGGAGAGTGCATATGATAAGATTTCTATTCAAGATGCTTCAAGAATGCTGAATTTAAATTCAGAGGAAGATATGAAAGTATTTGCAGTGAAAAAGAACTGGAATTTAGCAAAAGATGGTTATTTTTATTTTAATACAACAAGTGAAAAGAAAACTGAAGAACCAATTCCCAGTGCAGACTTGGCTACATTAGCAATTGATTATGCAAGAGAGCTTGAAATGATTGTTTAACCATATGTATTTTTCTGTTTTTTATAAATAAATAAAGTTTGTCATATAATTATTATGAATCAATATTTTATATATTTCTTAAATTTTATATAAAATTTTTTTTCCTAAAATATAATATTATAAAAATAATATTATTTTCTTGATACAATTATATATTAATGTTTATATTAATTGAAATAATGATCTTTCATTAAAATTTCTTGATATAAATCATATTTCCTTTCATCAATATTATAACTTCTTCAAAAATTAGAAGATATATTAATATATATAAATTCTTCCTGAATATAATTGATATTCAAAAATCTCAAGATCATACAAATTCAGACCATAAAAATCTCAAAAAGAGCATAATTAAAACAATAATAAATGTAATATAATTACAATACAGATAATAATCATACTTTCTGCCCATTTAACTGTCATGAGTTATTTATTAATTTTTAAAAACTGGAGATTTAACAGGAATTAAAAAATTTTTTGAAACATGCATATGCCTAGAAACTTCAAATATGTATTGTAAAATATAACATGAATACTTTTTTTTATTTCGTAAAAAATATTTTTTTCCTAAATCAATAAAACGAATAAAATCGAGAAAAAACCACTAACAATTCTCAAAACATCTCCTCTCACACATTTCTGTATCATTTAATCAAACATCTGCTACATCTACTTTTATATTTTTAGGTTATTTATATTTTTTGCGATATCAGAAAAAAAAGGATCTGTTAAAATGCTTCGAAACTATGAGGGTGTTCGATTTCTTTCGAATAAGCAAATGGTGATATTTGATATTGGTAGCGCATACACAAAGTATGTGTATTTATTTTTACAAAAAATTTTACTATCTTAATACATTGACATATAATTTGAAAATAGATTTGGTTATGCGGGCGAGTCTACTCCACGTGGTATAATAAGAACAGAAATTAAATGTCCAGAAACTAAAGAACTTCGAAGAATTTACGATTACAAAAACACAGAGGATTTATATCAATTGCTAGTCGAATTTCTTCATGCTTTATTTTTCAGGTACAAATCATATATTTTAGCATATATTTTATTTTATTTTGTATTAATATTATATTTTTTGATGCAGACATGTTGTGTTAAGTCCAAAGGATGCGAGAATTGTCATTTTGGAATCTTTATTATCTCCTACACAATTTAGAAATACATTAGCTAAGGTATTATTTAGGCACTTTGAAATCGGATCCTTAATGTTGTTACCTACCCATTTAGCAACTATTAGCACTTTGGGTATCAATTCAGCTTTAGTTTTGGATGTTGGTTATAAAGAAGCTACATTAATTCCAATTTTTGAGGGTGAACCAATTCTAAAAGCATGGCAAGCTCTTCCTTTAGGTGGCCAAGTTGTACATGAGTCAGTTAATTAATTTATAATACGAATCTTATTAATTTCATACTAATATGATTTGTTGTTTAGTAACTCTTACATTTTTATAATAGATATTTGATGAAATCTCTAAAAGAATTGTATCCTAATGTAGATGTAACAGAAAAAATGGTAGAAGATATAAAAGTAAGAACATGTTTTGTTACTACATTGGAAAGATCTGTTAAATTAGGAACAACAGAAGCTCCTAATCCTCCTCCATTTGTTAAATATCCTGGAGTTAAAAGTATTGATATTCCTGGTGAAGTTAGAGAAAAAGCATTTGAAGTATTATGGGAAAGGGATAATGATAATCTTAGTCTACCTACTATGATTTTAAATGCTATTATGCAGGTATATTTCTCATATATTTTTTAATGAAAAAAATTAGTTTTAGAATATGTATTTTTATTACAGTGTCCAATAGATGTTAGACGAGTCTTGGCAGAAAATATACTCTTAATTGGTGGCACAACAATGACAAAAGGATTTGCAAGTCGTCTTAAATCTGAGCTTTTAAGTCTTGTAAGAAGTGATCTTTATTCTGAAAAATTAAAAATTCAAAAATTTATGTTTCACACTGCACCTAGCAAACCTAATTATACTGCATGGTTAGGTGGTGCTATCTTTGGAACTGTAGATTTACCATTAAGATGTTTGACAAAAGAAAATTATTTGAAATCTGATAGAGTTCCAGATTGGGTCAGTTTGATAGATAATCAAAGGGACGAATTAATCACTTTAGAAACTTAAAACATTGCCTAATTCAATAAAACGATATTTTTTTTTTGTAACAAAAAGAACATATATATGATATATATAAAATGCAAACAATTTTATTTATTTTCTATTTTTTATTTTTCATATTAATGTCTTAAAAATCTACGAATATTATTGTAATTTATATTATCAAATAAATACAATAAGAATTTTAAAATTTAAAATGTTTATTATTCGTACAAATTGTGTTACAGAATTTATGAAATTATGTCATACTATTTATAGAGTTGTAAGTAACGTTAGTTTTTCGTTAAGTTGAAGTTGTGTTTTTATCAATTGTGATAGTGCGACGACCATTAATAAATCTTTTACATTACTGTTAAACATCTCATCAAACTGATCACTTGACATTTTAGGCACTGAATGTACCATATCTAAAAGTGCACGACCAACCTAAAATAATACAATTCATAACAATTATATAAGAAAAAATTCTTTATTAATTTAAGATTAATTAAATACTTGATTGTCTGGTGGTTGTTTTCCTGTTAAAACATCATCGACATATGCAAGTACTTGTTCCAACATAGAAGAAAGTTTAGCACTAGCTTCTGCTATCTGAGAAAGATCCATCATTGGTTCTATGCCTCCTCCTGTTTTTACACCAGTTATTTGGGCATGTGCTGGTAATTGAGTTTTGGAACAAAGTTGCAATCCAACAATTTCTGGTTCATAACATGTAATCTATAAAAAAAAAAAAATAGTTACTCTACTTTTTATTAATAAATTTTATACTTTAAAAATTTTTATTAAAAATTTTATACTTTTTATATTTTAAAGAGTATTTTATAAAATATAATATATTGCATACTTGTACTTTCACTGGTGTGAACATAGAACCTTGTTTTCCATTAGGTACTCCTAATGGAACACATACATAAGCTTTAATTCCCATTCTAGTAGTATTTGCTAATGTTGTATCAACAGTTAAATGCACGGGATTATTGCATTCACGAACATAATATTCATGAATAACAGAAGAATGAGTAGTAACCTAGAATTATTTCAATATTTTCATTTGCATTAAAAAATAAATTTAATAAAATTAAATTTTTTGAAATGTTAATTACTTCATTTCCGGTTGCCCACCATCCGACAATATTTTCTTGTGCGTTAACTCTATGATTCAATTCGTATAAGTCGATTCCATATGTTAAATCAGCTTCTACTTGACTTTCAGATTCTTTATGTGGAACACAAAAACAGTTTGTAACTTCAACCATTCCTTTTTCAGCAGTACCTATGTATATTAATTTATAATAAACTTTCTTATAAAGCAAAAAACTTAAGTACTGTCAAATTTTGTAATTTAATAACTTTATATTATAATAAATATCATACTTTTATGTGCATGATAAACTTTAAATTACCTAATAATGTACCGATAACACGATGAGATTCCGCTTTTCGACGTTCGTACGCATCGACAATTTGAAATAAAACTACGGGATGAACTTTTACAGTCAGGTTAAGCGCCATATCTTTTTCACTTTTAAGTATCGTACATGATAAAAGGAAGTTTTAATGTATATTGACCACGTTATTTTTTTAACTTAGAATAATATTCATATAGAGAGGAATACACAATTATTATTTTCTTATCCATTCAACCAATGATTATTATCTAGATAATAAATTACTATTTACTAAATCTAAAGTAGATTTATGTAATTAAAAAAGAAAATGAAGTTAAATATATATATATATAATTATATATTTTTAATTAAAATAAAATTTACTTTAAAATTAAGATAGGATATTTAGAATTTTTATTTTCATATTTTATAAATTATGAAAAATTATTTATAGAACACTAGCTAAAAAAAATTTATATATAATATAACATAAATAAGAACATACTTATAAATCAGTAGGCGACATATTCATGATTGTGGAAATTGTATGTATTAATTTGATAGGTATAATTTCAATGTAAGATGCTCTTGCTCTTATTTTTACTAGTCAAAGATAATAGGTGGTACAGTACTTTGTACTACATATAAGTGGAAGTCATTGCTTTTAGTGAAAAAAAAAAAAAGAAAAAAGCACGTTACTCATAAAAATAATGTAAGATGTAATAATGAAGTACACAATGTGATTAAAATTTACGTGAATGGAATGCATTACTGTTATGTAGTACATACAATGACGTATAGACGTCAAAAGAATATAAAGTACTTATTTTTTTTTCATTGTTATCATGGGTTCCAGATTGAGGTAAATAAATTTTTTACCTTCAACTTTTTCTAATGAAAACCATTTTATGGATATTTTATCTGTGTTATTTTTTTTTTTATATTTTCACTATATTACTACATTATTCATTTTATGTAATACATAAATAAGTGAAAGTAACATCTGTCTAAAAGATATTGTTGAAATGTTTTTCAATTAAAATTCAATATATTTCAATTAAAAAATTGAATTAATATATTTTGTGTTATAATTACAATTATAGCATATTGATATTTTTAGGGACAATGTACAACATCTTTTTGAATGTTTCTGTGAGGTAGCCGCACCATTAGGAGAAAAACCACCTTGGATATTACAAAAATATCCAATTTCTTTTTTAGATGAAGAAATACTTAAATCTGTCCCTAAATTTGCATATCCATGTGAAATTGAAAAGTAAGTTTCAAAAACTATTTATTGATGTTAATATAATTAATTATAAAATTAAATATATTTATAATATAATGCAATATTATTATATTATTACATTTATTATAGTGTAATGGTGCAGCATTTTTCATTTGTGCTCACCAGTATAGATTCCAAATGGACTTTTGGATTTTGTAGACATGATCCTAAGACAGATACAGCTTTAGTAATTTTAAGTGCACTTCCATGGCATGAAATATTTTACAAGT